CCGCATTTCAGAAATGCAGCTGCGCGCATGGCGCCACATGCATACCCGAGTGTGTCCACTCTCGCATACGCGAGCGCGGACTATCGCCGGGGAGCCGTATCGAACTAACCGGCGTCGTGCGCGAGGCATAATTGACGATGGGTTCAAAGGTCAAATGAATTCCTAAACAAATACCTACCGCCCATCGACAATACCTCTATCGTCGTTAAGCTTACCAGATTCCAACGCGCGATTCACGACTGTGAGAGTCGGCGGACGCGACTGTAGAAATAAATGATTTGCCCGTCGATTTGCGAACTCGATTAGGTGGCAGGGTTGGAGTGTGTCGTTTTGAATGATTTAATCAAAAAAATGGGGGTCCGTGTAGAGGTAAGAAATATTTTTAGGAACGTTGGAAGGCATTTTCTGCGATAGCAAGAGGGAAGGAAGTCGCTAGAGCGAAAAAGTGGGCAAGGAAGGAGTTTTAGGGGAAGTGAGACGGAATTTAGGGGAAGCGCGAGATATGAGATTCGATCGATACGACGGGGCAAATTAGTTAATAAAAAAAAAAAATAATGATACAAATCCGATCGATGAAAGATGCCGAGGCGCTCGACGACGATTTTCCGGGCGCGACGCGAACCCTCGTCGGACGACCCGGAGTAATTAAAACGCGCACTCACGGACGTCGGTCGTAGCGCCGAGGGCGCTGCAATAAAAATGCAGCCGCATCCTTCGGCGCGCGGTGTATCGACGAGAGGCGAGTCAAATGAAAAAGCTGCAAGGAATTTACCCGTGGCGAACTTTCCGAACCGCGCGTATGTACGTACGTGCATACGTACGTCAAACGAAGGCAGCCGGAAACAAAGACGAGTCCGCCAATCAACGCCGGAATTGTTCCAATCAAACGGGATGAAAATTACAGCCGGCCGAGTGTGAGAGCGCGCGCCGGCTTTGTTCCTTTCCGACGGTACCTCCACTTTTTTTTCGCAGGGCGCGATTGTTTTTCCGTAAAGCCAGACGCGACGCAAAACTCGATACCTCGAGATGACAGGGCGTCGAGAGAGCAAAAGAGAAGGAGAGCGAGAGGAGGATCCTTTTTCCTTCCCGGCGGAGCGTTGATTAAGTTTAATTAAACGTCCGGGCGCGCTGCAATTTTTAATCGACGGCCGGACTTTCACGCGCAAAAGAGCGTCTCCGTCGTACGAAGCCCGCTATATTATCAGGTCGCCAAGGATGAAATTTGCAGAAAAAAAAGGCAAAGTTGTTTAATAACTTACAAATATAAGGAATTATTTTATTCATCAAAGTACGCACCCATATTGTCTATACACTTTTGCCATTTAAGCGGCAGGTTGTTCAGGCCGGTGGTATAAAACCCTGGCGGACGTGAGTCAATGAATTCCTGGAAGGCCAGTTTTGCAGCATTGTCGGAATTAAATTGTTTTCCTATTAAAAAGTTGTCCAAATTGCGGAAGAAATGGTAGTCAGTGGGGGCTAGGTCTGGTGGATATGGAGGATGATAATGAAGTTCCAACTCCAATTCCTGTAGTTTCGCCACAGTCATCTGTGCAGTGTGTGGTCTAGCGTTATCATACAATAAGATAGGAGTCGATCTGTTGACCAATCTAGGCTGTTTTTCTTTAAGTTTTTGCATCATTTCGTCCAGTTGGTTGCAGTATATTTCTGCTGTGATCGATGAGCCAGGTTTCATGAAATCATAATGGATCACACCTGCGTTAGACCACCAAACGCTCACCATCAGCTTCTTTTCATGAATATTGCGCTTTGGAGTGTGTTTTGGTGACTCATCCGTGTCCAACCACTGTGCTGAACGTTTGCGATTGTCATATTGGATCCATTTCTCATCACAAGTGACGATTCGATTCAAAAATGGATCAGATTTGTGACGAGAAAGCAACATCAAGCAAATTTCCAAACGCTTTTGTTTCTGTTTTTCATTCAGTTCATGCGGAACCCACTTATTCAACTTTTTCACTTTACCGATTTGAGCTAAATGAGTTAATATTGTTTGTTTGCTAACACCAAACTTCAACGATAATTCATAGGCACTCTGTCATGGGTCAGACTCAACGGTGACCTTTATTTTCGTCATTATTGACTTTTGATTCTGGGCGACCGCGTGGCTCATTTGTGAGGTCAAAGTTACCTATACGAAATTTGGCGAACCAATTTGATACTGTCTGCTGCGTACTAACATTAGAGCCAAATACACTATTAATGTTTCGCGCGGTCTGCGATGCCGTAATTCCACGTAAGAACTCATACTTCATAATAGTGCGAATTTCCGACCGTTCCATTTTCAACAAAATTAATCTTAAAAAAAAAAGGTTTTAATATTTTTTAGAACATACAATGATTTCTTTAAACAGGCGAGATATGTAACTTTCCAACACAAAAAAAAACAGAACGGTAATATATTAATTAAGCCAATGTCAAGTAATAAGCTGTTACAGTTGGTAATATTATTAACTACAAATTTCACCCTTGCCAACCTAATATATTTCCTTCGTGTGCACTTCCACCGTGATATGCCCTTTTTCGTTTCATCCCCCCCTCCCTCCTCGAGATCCGCTATACTGAAAAATTAATTTCGTTGGATTTATCCGACAACGGACAACCGAACGCATTTTGGCCGAAAGGAACGGAATTTCTGGTAATAAGAACCAAATTTGGCTCACGAGAAATAAATTGTGTTTCCTTCGACCCAAATGCGTCTGGTTGTCTTTTTATCAGGCAAATCCAATCAAATTCAATTATCAGCGTACGTGCGGGATCGATAAAGCTCGATCGCGTTCGAACACACCTCAATCGAGGAATTATCAGTCGCGACCGGAACCGTCGACCGACGAAACCGCGCGCGTCCGAAACGGTCGGACGAGTTAGTGTATTCAGGAAATGACGCGAGCTGCTAGTTTATATATACGCTTGCGGAAATGAGAGAAATGCGGCGGTCCGGTTGCGCGCAGGTGCGCGAAACTTTCGCGGTCGCGGCTTAATGAAATATTCCATTCATGGTAATGTTTAACTGCGGACCGACTTCCAACAGCGCGGACGTGCCGCCGGCCAGTTCCCCGAGTAGTCAAGAGTGCAATTAGTTCTTCCTCGCGCTACCCTCCCCTTCCCCTCTCGTCCACTCGATCGAGTCGAACTTTTCACGTCCTGCCGAACCAAGACTCACCGCTCTCTCGCCGGAGTGAGAGTTTGAAGTTCCTCGAGCGGTGGAAGGGAGATTGGGATTAGGACAGATTGAATTTATTAAGAGCTTCGGAGAATCGAAATCTCGGCGAAATATTGAAAAATACACCGACCGCGGAGCGAGAACATCGAATACACGCTTAATGCGACCGCGCGATCCGAGTCGCGAAAACGCGGAATATCAGTGCGATTATTCTTTGCATTTTTCCTACGAGAAATCGTTACCTTTTTATGGCGATAAATGCGCACGGGTAGAGGATAGATTGTTTTACCGGATAAATACGCGGCCGAGTGGGGCTTTACAGGGAACGATAAATATGTGTGAACACGTAAGACAAATATAAACACGAAGAGCGGAGAAGAGAAACACGAGGAGATCGGGCGAACGAGCGAGAGTCGGGTGTAACGCGAGAACGAGCATTCCAAGTTATACAGGGTGTCTCGAAATTGGTCCGACAAACTTCGAGTGCTTATAAAGAACACCAAAACAACTTTCGTTAATAAATCCATGTTCGCTCTGGCATTAGAGTGAATTATTTACAGTAGTTGTTCAAAGTGTGTCGGCGAATTCACTTCAGCACAGAGATATCAGCGATTTTTCTCTTGGGTTCGGTTTTTGTTGCTACCTCTTGATAAAAAAACTTTATTAAAAATTGCTTTGTCAAACTGAAGACTGTTGGGAATTTTCAAACAGGTAGAATTAGTATTGTTTCTTATTGATTCGCGAGCTCGGTATAGCAGCATTTTTTAAAAATCTTTATTAACAGGAAGAACCCCTTTAGTATACAACAGAAAGGAGAACAGTTGTTAACATAGTGAAGAATTAAAGCTGCCAAGTTGAAACTACACGAGCGTTAGCCTAAACGCCGACGCGGAGCCATCGAAGAAATTAACAGAAGTAGAAAATTTGTTCGCGGAAATCATCAATCTATCAATACAAGAATAAGTTCCGTGTAACGTGCGGTGACAATTAACATAAAAAGTGCCGCATTGTCACAATTCTCTAGTAGTCCTTTACAAGCACTCGAAGTTTGTTGGTCTAATTTCGGCACACCCTGCGATTCGATGGGCATTATCTCCAAGTTCATCTCCGCGTGCCCGCTTAATCCTATTCCGTACGCGCAATGTCCAACGGCGACCTTAACCCGCGCAATCCCGGATACACGGCGACGTGGGAGCTTCGTTCGCTCGCTCACGCGCGCTTCGGACTCCTGCATAGCCCCTCGGGCGGGACTTGAGAGGTTAACAACGACAGGTCAATAGGGGCCGAGCTGGCGACGCGTAAGCTTCGCAGTGGCACGTAACGTGTCCAGAGCAATCCCGCCTCCATGACAGCCGGGCCGATTCGATAATCCCTTAATCCGTCAGCAATTAGCTCGCGCAGCGACGACCCTCCACCGAAGCGCTCGTCCGATATGATTTATCTCGTTCTGCTCGGTCTACTTTTCAAATTAATAACGAGACTCCACGTTTCGTTTAATCGAGGCGACAGATCGAGCGATGAAAGCGCGAGACGAACGGTTCACGAATCCTGTGTTTGCAGATTCGCGCTTGCACTTTTCAGTCGCAACGATTTCACGGGATCTCGGCGAAGGAACGATATGAAATGGGACAACTTGGGCGACGTGCGAAGCAGCCTCGAGTAAAATCACACGAGAGCGAAGACACGTGCTGCGCGCGATAACGCCGTCTCTGTATACGATACCCACGCATCTTTCGCGAAAAAAGAACGGAGTCGGAGATCGAAGACGGTTCTCGCGTGGAATCTCGCGAAGCGCTCTGAAGAACCTGATGGGACTCACCGTGAGACATCCTCCTGGGAAACGGCGCGCGGCGTCCCGGTGCCGTGCAGCGCGAGGGAAGACGCGTGGCGTGACTCTTGCGAGTACGGGAGCGCCGCGGTGTTGTTCTCCAGCGCCGACACGGAGCCGTTCTGCTTGCCTGTTGACGCACAAGATCAAACGCACTTGATTACACGCTTGATTAAACGGTCATCGCAATATTGATATTTCGACGAGAGCCGGAGCTTCCCGTAATTCTGTCCCGGGACAAGCGAAACATCGGACTAGTTCCCGACTATTCGGTGTATTTGTTTTCAGTCTGAGATACAGCGATGGCACACGCGTCGTATCGCAGATTTCGATGAGATTCCGTCCTTCCCGTGTTTATCAATAAAGTATGAATCCGAAGGAAATCCGTCCCGAGTGCGTTAAGTAGAAGTACTCATGCGTATATCCGTGATCGTAAAATTTCAGTGTCCAGGTGTTATTGTGGAATACGAATGACTATACTCAGAGGAAGAGTTAGCTATAGGAGGTAAAATCTAGTTGTAGCAGCTAAAACAGGGACGGCTAATACCGTTACTTCTTCTTCCATTGGCGCTACAGCCTCTTGTAGAGGCCTGGACCTACCTCTCTCTTACGTATGCGTGTGGTGAGCACGCAAATTATACACACGCATACGGGACCTACAGTTTAAACGCCGGTTCCGAACGGCGAGAGAGGTTTTATCATGGCATGAACAATACTCTTGGTGGTTTGCCAAGGCCACCGAAGAGAAGCTACGAGCGAATGAAAATTTGCTGCTTCTGCTGGGAATCGAATCTTTAAGCACGGCAGACGGTACGCTGTCTACGCCACGCTCGCGCTCTAATACCGTTACTATCGCAATTAAATTTATCAGCTGTGGTAACAACGACATTAACTAAGACAGGTAAAATGTATTTGTTGCAAGATACAATTATATCGTTCGCTGTAGCGCCTTAATTCGAACAGCTAATCAATTTAGCTGCGGTAGTAATAACATTAGTCCCTATTTCAGCTCCTGTGCTTAATTCTTTCTCTGAGGGTAAAAGATCGGCATGACTCGATCTTTTATATAGGATCGGCCATTTAAAGTATTATAAAACTGTTTTCTTTGAAAATACTATAGGAAACATCATAGCAAAAAAATGCTTAACGCCATATGATTCCGTTAAAAAAGAATCCATGATGATATTGAGATCTTCGCGCTCATTCAGAGTCAAATTAATGTCCTGATTTTTTTTTTCTTCGAATTAAATAACTTTTATATAGAAAATTTTTGCTATGACCCGCACTTTCAAAGATAACAGCTTGGTAACTTTTTAAATGGCTCACTCTGTATATTTCTGCAGAGATTCAGTTGCAGATATAAATTACGATATGCGTGTGATATTATAGAATTATAAATATTTGTTTATTATTATAATTTAATTTTTTTTTTTAATATTTACTATTTAATTAACATTTTTAATTAATATTTTTACTTTATTTCGTCACACAACGGCACAACGGCCGATCTTATCACCCGTGTATTTACCGCGGGACTCATGATACTAATGCATTTTAGTCGACATTTTATTTGTCCGCGTGTGTGCGCGCCGTATAAAAAGCAAAGGGAGAAAAGACAAACAGGTAAACCGCGGTAGAAAACAGCGTTTTCTCGATCCGGCGAGCGCCTGCTTGTTTATTCGCGCGGAGATGCTTTCTCTGGGAAACTCGATGCGCGCGCGCTTCCCGCCGGCTGGAGATTAAAGCAAATATTCGAATAATCTCGGAAGTACCGATCCGTCGCAGCATTAAAGGGGCAATTTGAATTCAACCGGCATCGAGCCACGGCCTTTCCCGCTCGCGGCGGATCGAACCGCGGAACTATCGTTCGCGTTCACTTCGTTAGGGAGGAGGGAGGGGATTAATACGGAAATATTGCGAGGGATACGCGAGACCACGACGATGGCTTAGCGTGTCTCGAATACTTCGGCAAGCAATTTTTCACCATTCGCGTGTAACCGTTCGCGCGAAATACGGCTAATGACGATCGATCTCTCCTCCACACGCGTCTGGCTTGCGAATCCCGCTCAAAATAATTTCGCTGACCCGGCCCGACCGTGCAGCATTTTTCCGGGCGGCATCGAATTTTAACGTCGCACTTTCGAGATTTCCCCGATCGGCACGTTTTCGCCACGCGGTGCGCCGCATTCGCAGCACACGCGCGAGGGGAGGTAAGTCGGAGCCGCCGCGCGAACTCAGGCGAGTTTACGAGATCCCCGTTTTACGAGATCGATGAATAAGTTACGGGCCGATCGTCGGAAAAGCTCGGTGACGGGGAGGAGCGGCGGATCAAAAATTCATTTCCGCGCCCCTCGATGAGAAACCGGGCTCGTCCGTGTTTATTCCCAGCCGGGAGAAAGCGCGGAGAACGACGAGGGGGCTGCGACGGAGGGAGGGACACGGTTCATTTGAATTTCAACGCGCCGCGCGCGGCTTTGAATAATTAATAGGACGTCGTAATTATTATTTCGATCGAAGCTGCGGAAAAGCGGAGAAAAATGCGATCGCGCGACAGAGGCGACGGAGACGGCGGCAGCGGAACGACGTTTCTTGCGGTATGGTTATTAAATCGTGCACGGTCGCGCGCGGAATTTTCGGGCACCTTCGTCGCGTAAATCACGCTCCCGTCGGGCTTCGCGCCGCAATTTTATTTCGCCTGATTGATAGTCCACGAAATTGTGTTTGCGTTTATATCGTAACAAATGCGTTTTCCCCTCTTATACGTTCCCGTCAGAATTACGACAAGGTCGGTGAAATCGCGGAACACCTTGAAGAAGCGCGAAATTAAAACGGCAGCCCCAAGGCCTCGTGCGATTAAAGCTGGAACGAGACGTCAATCAATTTGCGCCCGTGTGAAATCACTAACGCGCGTCGACTTCTTCGTGGTGTTCCGAGATGCACCGGGAACGGTAAGTGCGCGTATGAAATGCTTGGAAATCTGATGACTTACGTGGCTGAGGCGAGAGAGAATTGTCCGACGCTATCGGAGGAGGAGGCGGAGGTATCATTCCACGTTCCGGTTTAGCGACCAGAAGCACGACGCGATCTTGGGTCGCCTTCAGAGTCGCAACGGCCTCTTCGTGTGTCACGTTCTCCAGATTCTTGTCGCCGTGCTGAAACCAATACGATTTGCCTTCAACGACGTTCCCGTTCCTCGATGTTTCGACGTTTCGTGTGCGCTTAATGCATTCGCTTCGGGAGACTCTTATTGAAAGACGAGACTTCAACATCTCGTTCTCCCCGAAGCGAACGTGTTAACATAGATTCGCTGATGGTCGAGGACGGAATAAAGCCATTCGGGTCGTCGCCGAAAGCGTGACCATTCCTCTCGGTGAGCAAAAATGAAAATACGTTCTCGACGGTGCAGCAAGAAAAATATTGTCTTGCATAAGACAGCGCGTAAAATCATGTCATGAAATGTTTATTAGCGCGGACGTAGCATTTATGCGACGATCGTTAAACAGTTTATCAACGGCAATTAAAATTCATCAATATACCGTTAAATTGATCGACGATACGAAGAAACGGTCGTTCTTATTGGAAGAAGGATAGTTTTAGCTTTCGAATGCAATTTATCGCATGTCGCTACGACTTTTCTACGCGAAGATATCGACGAGCGGCGGTTCGTTAGAAGGTGACTGAGGCAGCCGACAATGTTGCGCGGCGTCCCTTTAGTCGGGCACGCCGTCGGTCGGAGGTAGACAAAGGTGTGAGGTCGGCGGCGCAACGTACTACAATGTACTAAGCGCGCTTTCACCAATCGGCGGCACCGCTCGACAAAAAAGTACAGGTGCTTCGAACGTCCGTATCTCATCGAAAAATCGACGTACGAATATGAGATAAACGCACACATTCTTCTCGACACGACAGAGTGCACGCGTTTGCGCTGGTCACATATGCTCTTATCGTGACACATGTTTCTTCTGTTATATAATTATGACACGTGACATAAAGCCATATAACGTTGCATAGGGCTGTTAGAGTACATTGAAAAATTGGATAATAGTGTTAACAATTTCTATCACGTAAAATATAAAATTTCACGTATCACGTTAAAAAACTTTGCGACAAAAATGATTCACTGAAATCTTGTATTATTTTTATATGAAGAATGTGTTAAAAAGTACACAAATATAATGTCAATATATGTTGACAAGATGAATGTGTTAATTTAATATTATACTTGTGTACTTTTTAACACATTCCCTATGTTAAAATAACAAAAAATTTCAGTGAACCGTTTTTAATACGAAATCTCTTACCGTGCACCTCATTCGAAAAATCTTACGTTGCAATTTTCGCGTAATTTGAATTCCGAATGACTTTCTTTTCAATTGGCACTTTCCCGAGTGCGGATTGTGTATTCCAATGCTGAGTATCGAGCTGATATTGAAAACTTGGCATTTAATAATGGCACAACACACAGCCGGCACCATAAAATCCCACGTGAGACATGTTTCCGTAGTAACGTCTGACGTCCGTATTAATACTCCGGGCTTTATTCATTTCTCGCGAAGATATTGTCCGTTGGGAATGGTTCGATTTTTTTGCTCTTAATGGAGAAACCAAAGAGGGAGAAAGATACATAGTCGGCGTAGTCATGCAACGAGCACAAACAATTCGATCATGGCGTCGCGTACCTCGATAATTGATTTTCCCCGTTCAATTTCCTCTGTCAATCGTTGCCCCCTTTTTTGCCCGCCGACTATGTTTCCCTTGAGACACCAAGAGGCAATCGGTCGTGATTATTCTCGAGCCGGCGCGTATTGAGAGACGTCTGACGAGGAAACCGTGACACGATACGGCCGTATAAAAATTTCTTCTCATTTTGTCTGAGAAAGTATACAACAATATTCCTTAGCAAATTTTTACGTTGATCGAATAAATATATTTTTTTATCATTTTCTTAATCCAAGTAAAATATTTTTCACGTAAATTATCTAAATAAAATATTAATTTGATCTAAATCAAATTTACTTAATCCAAATAAAAAATTGCTAAGGAATATTGATTGCTAAGGAATTATTTACTTGAAACTAACACTTTTTCCTGTGCAGTAGCTGAAATAACATGTGAGATTTTTGTCTGCGGTAGAACATCCGCTTTGCGAAATTTCCGATATTTTGTCAATCCTTATTTTTCTTTTTATTTGATAAATGTGGGCTTATGCAAACATTCAGACAATTAAAGTAATCCATTAAAATTTCCAAGAAGAAAAAGAATATTTTCGCTTTACCATTTAAGAAATTCCTTTTCTCTTAATTTTGCCAAGAGGGATATTCAAGTTCCTCCAAATCACAATACCGAGAATGACGGTATACACGAAGTTTACAGGATGTCGAGTTCGAGTAAGTACTAGCGTTCGGATATGCGAGCCAACACTTACCTAGGAATTTCATTTTATCTGTATTTTCTCAGACATTTCTATACCGAGAAGAGAACTGGGAGAGCGACTGGTCTGAGCAACGTACGGACTCATGTCCAAGATAGCGCGCGTGCGACGAGACTCCCACCTGCCTGTCCTTGTGTGCGCGGTTAGTCATCTGTGCGTTTGCGCGTGACGGATAGCAGGTAGCAGGGCGGTAGGAAGCACGAGGAGCTTCCAACGAGTTCGAACGACGAACTCATCTGTCAGGAAGCAGCGATTAAGCGCGGATAGGGAAAGTAGATTAGGACGGTTTCCGTGGCGCCGCGAGAAATTGATAGCACCTCCGTCAGCGATATACACCGGGCGGGCTCCTTCGCTGGAGTCTACGATTTTTCGCTTCGGCGATCTCACCAAGCTATCTTCGAGGCTACCCTCTTCTGGGAGTCGCGCCAAAAAAGCGCCGATTAAAGCCGCCGAACAAGCCGGCCCGCTTGATTTATGACCGCCGTGGTGAAAGTGCCATTAGAAGGATGTACCCCCTTCCAGTGTGTTCCAAGGATTTGTTAGAAGCTTCTCGCACTTCCTACCGTCCTATTACCCGCCATCTGTCCCGTGTAAGCGTGTACGTGACTTTGCGAACGTTAAATCGGATATAAGACCGCGTAACATGCGTAATTTCTGTTTGAAGGATCATAAAGTACAAATATTTCTTTTTCGGAAAAATTACAAATAATAATGTTCATATAATAATCCCTTGCGTTTCGAAGCTGTGGCTAGATTTTAACCGAGAATGGAGTTTAATGAATTTGATATTAATTAACAAGTTCAAAATAATAAATATTAAATGTAAAAATATATTCATTACATAATAAATAACGCAAATAAACGTACATAAATAACGAATATATTTATATTATATATTATCGAAAAATATGGATAAATTTTTATTTTCGCACGTGTGCTGGCGTACATGTTCGCACCAGAATTTATTCGAATAAAATTATATTCGCTATTTTACCATGTATAAATATTAACTCTCCAATCTCTTTCCTTTTATTATATTTATAAACACGAAGAAAATATATTTTTGTTTCGTTAAAAATTAATTGGAATAATAACCAGCTCCGAGCTATATGTGCAATTCAATATGAAAATTTGTTGCTTTTCGTGAAATGATAGTTTATTTGTACGAACAAGAAGAATCTCGAGATATTGTGACAAAATTCCAACTCGTAGTTTCAATAAAGATCACAGGCGGCAAATTTAAAATTACGTTTCGAAGTTTGAAAAAAAAATTGATATTTAAGGGTATTCCCCGCGAAACGTGCCATGAATTATATTTGCCATATTACTCAATTTTAAAGTCTATTAAGAAGGGATCGAGAGAGGATCGGGACTCGATTAAACTTTCGGCATGGAAATTTCCTCAGGTGTTTACGACAGTGTCCCAAAACTTTCTTCGTTTTATTCTCCCGCGCAGCAAAGTAATTATCGATCGTACGGTAATTAGTCTCGGCACGTGCAAGTCCAAAGTTTTCGTAATTATAAAAGTCGAAACGATTTTCCAAACTCGCGTTCAAGCATGAATATCACAACTGGTTTCACACGGCGATTTACACATACGTTTTTCAATTAAATATTTATTTCTGATATGGTTCTGATATGGTTCTGATATGGTTTCTGATATGGTTAGTTCTGATATGGTTACACACTTGTATTATTTTTCGTACATTTCTGTTTTTTTTACTGAGTTTAAACTTAAAGAAAAGTATTTTTAATTCTCGCTCAAAAATCGCTCCGAACTTCAAACACATTATCTTTCACATTTTCGGCAGGAAGAAGCACTTTCTGCTTTTTTAATGAGGTTTATTTCGAAATTAACATAAAGTTTACGATGAGATGTCATCGGACGAGAAGAGCAATCAAAAGTTTTAATCAATCATCGCCGTATATAATTATACGATTATCGATTTCGGTCCTCTGGATAATAATTTAAAGCATCACCGTGCGGCACGAGCGGCATTACAAAGTAATCGGTCTCATTGTGAAAGCAGTCGGGCGATTGTTATCGCGGTGGAGGGAGAGACTCGATCAATTACTCATGAGCTTCGGAAAGCAGCGCAATTTACTTCACCATCCACATTTATCTCTTCATCTACCCGAGGAGAGGGAAGGGTGTCACGGAAGAGCGGTCTCGCGGTCACTTTGCTGCCGGAATGAGAAATGGTCGCGACTTCATTTTTCCGCAAACGCGCGCGCCTCGCTGCTCCTCCTCGATCGCGAAAAAGCACAATGGCGAGGGGAAGCTTACCGGCAAGCTCACGACGCTTCAACATATATTCGTCTCGACAAGTAATCGTGTTTTCACCGACGATGCTGCGGCCTTACGAGCGTGTCCGATACTTGCAATTCAGAGACCGGACAAAGTGAAAACGGTGCTCGACCATCCTCTCGATATTTCGACCGCGATGATACCGTGGATAAATACGGTAAACGCTGCGTATTTACTTACCAGAGCGTTCCTGACGGCCACCAACTTGTCACCGACAACCAGACGACCGTCGACCTGGGCTGCCCCGCCTTCCATGATTTTGGTCACGTAAATTCCATTGTCACCCGGTATATGCTGATTGCCGATACCGCCAGCGATGCTGAAGCCGAGGCCCTTGTTTCCCTTGATCAATTCGATCTCCATCAGCTGCGTGTGCCTCCGCCGGCGTACATACTGAAAATCAATGCCGGACATGACGTTAATTGAGCGAACCCTGAAGACGCCGCAGCCGATCGAACGAGTGAGTTCCAAGGGGAACTTCGACGTTTGAATTTAAAGACAGCGCGTGGGAGTAGCCCGGATATCGGCTTCGTCCGAGAAGCGGCGGAAATAAAAAAAAAACAAAAGGAAATATACTCCTCTCCCCCATTCCATCCTTTCAGTCGGATGTGTGTATGTGTATAGGTGTGCGTGTGTGTGTGCGTGTGTAACAATGAATCCACGTAATTAAATGCCTGCTCGATAGCCTGATCGGAGAGATATATCCCCTTTCGAACTCCTCTCGTTTACTCTCGGTGAGATTTATAAAGTGGATTTGTTCCCGTTCGGCGGAATTCTCCTTAAAGGCCCGTTTATATCGCTACTAAGATCGTTCTCAGTTCGTTAATTAAACTCCACGCGAATTAAGATAATACGCCGTCTCGATCGCGTTGAGCGATCGATACGATTGTTTTTACAAATTTGCCGATTAATCACAAGATGATCGAGGTACGCGTAATTCATCGCGATTTTCGACACTGCGCGCCGAGCGCGCAGTCATTAAAATTATGGCGTTCGCCGATCGATTGGAATATTGATGAAAATCGACGTCTAAACGCAGGACAGTATCCCCCTATCGTCATTATTTATCAAATGCTTCTTTAATCATGTAATTAATGGAACTACACAGTTATGTATAAATAAAAAAAATATAATGAGAAGGATATATCACTTGACGTGCGCGATAAATTGGGGAATTACAGTATTTCAACGTTAAAATGATTCGCAATTAATTAGAGACGATCGTCTGGAATGTTAGTAAAATTCAAAATAGACGAAAAGAGCGTATTTCTCTTCCTCTCTATCTCCCTCTCCTTCTCTTTCATTATTATTCCATTATTAATCTATAAATATATAATAAACAAAATGATGATTATATATAAACAAAAAATACATCAATTTAACAAAGTTACGCTCGCACTCTACGTACACACAACAGATCGACGAGCTTTAACGTAGATTATTTATAATGAATTAGCGCTAATTATTTTAGAGTAATAACTCTGGTAACGACCAATGGCCGTAGCTCCCCGGTATTGAGTTAATTCGGCAAATATATTAAACACGACGGGGTCTATATCGAGAACATTTAACAACTCGTGTTTCAACCAAAATAATTTACTCGTTGAATCGCGTTATCCAACGTGAAACACACGTAAATCCGAATTTGTAAATCGGATCTGCGTTTTTCGTCGGTCGTCTTAAAGACACGTTTTATCGCGCAACGAGGGGTAACCGCGCGGCGGTCTTTACGCCGGAATAATAATATCCGGGATGGTCCGGTCATAAACCGCTTTTATGCCTTCCTCGTCGTTATTCCCAGACTAGAAGGGTTAATAACGCCGATGCTGACTCGCGCGATCTCCTCGAGTGTCTGCTCGAGAACCTCTACGGTTGTGTTCGTTTAAAAAAAACCATTATCCCCGAAATATTTTATCGGCATCGAGTTACGCCGATGGAATATTCCCCAAAATTCCGTCGGAATCATCGGATCCAAGCACGGACCCGCGTCGCTTCGCGAAATTCTTGATAAAAACTTTCACAACGAGAGGGCGAGCTGCAATCGACGGCTGCAATTTTGACGTTATGCCGCGGCGACTCCGATTTCGCCGTCGATTCCAAAATCGAGCTACGGTACACAGCATCCCACCTGGGGAACCTTTTTTTCTTCTTCTTCGAGGGTGACATTAACGTATATCCAAGAGGCGCGTAACGAACGATCCCATGGAAACTTTCCCTCATCCCTCGGCGACTTTGCGGAGCTACAGGAATCTCGAAAGACCGAGTGAGCGATCGTCGCTTCGGGACTTTCCCCGGCATAAGCCGAAGATATTCGACGGGGCTTTATGACAAATATGGAATCCGGGAGGACGCCAATCTCGCGAAAACTTTGCAGGGACTCGGAGGCATCGTTGAAGAGAAGCCGACGACGTCAAAAAAAAAAGTGAAAATCACGCGTAATACCTACACTGAAAATAAAAGTTTAGTAACAATTACCAAATATTTATTTGAAACTACTTCACTAAATGTTTGGTAATTGTTACCAAACTCTTTTTTCAGTGTAGTATAAGCGTAAGGGAAACAAGATTGATTCTTATTATGTAACTGAAGGATTTCATTTCCTGCTAACAAATGATTATTATCATCATTATTAACTTCGAGACCAAGGACGGGGCTCGACATGTCACGTGAAGTATCGATATTTTTTTCTCGCCGTCTATAGACGCGCAACGGCCATGCGCGTGTCGTCAACAATAGACAACAACAATACACATACGCCAATAACGATCGTCTGATATATAATTGATTAAACACCCCGTTGTTTAACTATCGGCAAGTAGCTCGAAAACTGAATATGCATACGCGTCGTATGAGTTTAACGGCGGAAAGGGCGCGCATTACAACATTTGCAATTCAATTATTTCCCGGCGCATTCGTCGCGCAATTAAATCTGCACTTGAGATGCGCATGTGATGCGGCATGTGATTGTGGCAACAATGTATGACCGAGCGGTGTAACGCGTGCGCTCACCACGGTTCAATTAAATTTGGATTCGAGATTTGCATACGTCAGTTCGCGTTCAGTTGCAACGTTACGATGTTTCGCGCGTCAATCAGCGTTAACCGTCGAGCAACGTTCTCTCCCCCGAGACGTTGCGATCCCCGTTATTACCGGGACACCGAGATCGCGATCTAGCCAGCAGCGGGAGGTAACCGGCGGCTGAAAGTACATGGATCGTGATTGCGTGGGAGTCCCGTGTGGAGCCCCACGCGAAATGGACGCGTTTGCCGATCGTACGCCGAGCGGAACCGAGCGATCCGCCGCAGCAATGGGAAACGTGCGCAGCTCACGTGCACGCGTTCACGTCGGGGGAGGGGAATTACAGCACAGGACGAGGCTTACCAGTTTGACGGTGTTGCCGGCCCGCTTGAGCGCGTCCACGGCGGCCGCATGCGGTACGTCGACGACGGACACGTCGTTCACCTGCAGTATCGTGTCGTTGACACGCAAACGCCCGTCCGCGGACGCGGCACCGCCCGGTATGAGCTTGGTGATGTAAATGGCGGTATCGTTGCCGTAGTGCGGATTGTCTGTGCCGCCGGCGATACTGAAACCGAGGCCCGCGCCTCCCCGCTCCAAAACTATCTCCTCGTACTCCCAGTCATCGTCGCCGTTCACCTGAAAGCACAAAAAGGCGCGGGGTCTCGCGTCACTCTTACTGCCTCTCTTCGTTTCTTCTCCTCTCCTCTGCAGCTATCAGCGTTACTGCCTTATTCTACAGCTGAGAAAGTGCTTAAAATTCCCCGCGCAAGAGGGAGAAGTGCCCTCCAAATAGGAGTTAAAGGATAGAAGTCAAAAGTCAAGAAGTCAAGTTTCCAGTGTATCCTCGTTAACGTCTAATGAGCGATAAAGATTGAATGACGCAATAACGCTGATAGCACGCTCTCGAGCACAGCTTGTATAATATGTAGAAAGATAAATCTATCACTACTTGTCTTCATCTATCTACTTTCTAAAATAGAATCAGTAGGTGTGTTCGTTTCAGCCGAATCAGGTTGCGCTTTTCGCGTTTAGAGTGAAACAAGTGTATAACCTAGTGAAGGAAAAAAAAAGGCCCGGTTAGTCCAATATTAGTTCAGCTAAAACGAATAGGTTTAGTATATTATCATTGAAAAAGCAGAATCGGTTATAAATACAAAGAAGGACTTGGTAACAATTACAAAAAACTTAGTTAAAATAAATTTCAATTAAATGATTTAGTTACAGTAACCAATACCATATGTACTATTAATCAACATGTAATATTAATTATATTTTAAAATAAATAAATATCACATGTATATGTTTTGATTAATAAAACAGAACAAACTTTTGCATCAATCCAATATTATCACGGATTCGCTTTAAGAGACAATTTTTATTCTATTCTTGCATCGGTTTACACATCCAATTCGATACGGTCGAAGGAGCTAAAGTTAAAGATCGGGCAATAACGGCGGCAAAGTTGGCGAAGGATTAGAAGTGGGACGAGGGGTGAGAGTGCGATTATCGAAACAATTAAGAGGGAACGGACTAACGGGACCCATAGGAGCCTCGTTAGCTCTTCTAAAGAGAAAGGACTGTTCTGGCGCGAATCCAGGGTCAGCGGCGGCCTACGGCGACGAGCACGGAGCCAGCGCGCGCGAAATCCACGATCCTAATTACGTCGGGGACTTAAGCCCGCGCGCACGCGAGAGTGGGGTTAAACGGTTAATTGATTTTGAGGCTCGCGCAACGCCTCGGACCAATGACAGTCGGTTACGCGGGACAGAGAGTTTAACCCCTTAACAACAGCTGACGGGCGCCGAGACACTATTTACCATATTCCGCCGAACTTTGTTCGTGACGCGACCATGCTCAGTCTTAAAGCGTTGAATCAAGGGGGGAGTGGGCAGTTGATGAGCGCGTTTGACAAACATGACCGAGTCAAAATATTGCTATGCTATTTTCATATTCTTAAAAATAGTTTCTGCCTACTTAGATGGCTTATAAATAAGTAAAATCTTACTTCGACGGTGCTACATTTGTTAACATCTTTCTTGTATTTTTAATTCTACAGATTTAGTTTTATAGCATTAAAGTTTCAACATCCGGTTAAAATTCTCGACTCGAACGTACGCTATAACGAGGATCCAAACGACTTTCTGTCTGACGACGTTGACGTCCTCCGAACCGAAGACGCGACGAAAGAAGAAAGGATTTTGACGGATAAAAAACTTCAGTGAAGCGGGAGCTCATTCTCTTCGATTAACCTCGCGTGGACTTTATCTCGTTAGAATTTGACGTACGTGTGAAAAAATCCAAGGGAGCTCGACAGAGACTGGCAAAGAAGCTCGTTTACCGGTCCGGCGTTCTAAGAGACCTCGTCGTCCAATTAATTTCGGGCGGGACTGACGCGAGGCGTATTAATATTCCGTAACGAGGGGATAATTAAAGAACGTCGTTATCGGCGTCGTTTGACGCTTTTAACTTATACGTCGAAGTATACGGCCGATTGTGTTATCAAACGAGATCAAATATCACAAAAGAGCACGACGAATAAATATAAGGAAGACAAAGGAAAGGAGAGGAAAAGGATCCGCCGTGTACATCCAGCGACGAATACATCGCGGGGAACTTGTGATCGCGCATTGTTCGCGAGTTTATCGCGAATGCCGCGCGATCCGTTTCCCGTTCGGTCCCTGTCGTGCGAGCGCGAGCGAAATGGCGAGCTAATTCCATTAGCAACAGCGGATGTATCGCGGAAAACTTGTGCGATTAACACGATTCCTAGGGGATTGTACGCCTAATGAAATAACACAGATTTCGCAGTAGCAGATAGTAAAGGTCCTTCACGTGCGCGATCGCAATGCAATTATGCACGATCCAGCAGAGCGTGCAAAACCATTTTAATCGGATCAAAAGCCAGCTAAGCCCTGGCATAATGTACCGGAGACACGTTCTCGCACAACGTACGTCGCGATCCCAGAGGTATCAAACGCGTTACGATACATTTCGCACTCGTGTACACGTGTATAATCGCTGTCACGAGTGATATATACGAGCCGGTGAATCGTCTCGAGGTGTACAACGCGGATTATCGTCGAGAAGACGCCGTCGTTAGACGAGCGTTGCGTCATACTGATATCAATTTCAAATCGACACCGATACGATCAACGGAGAGCATTGATATGATTAGCGCGGATAGTGTAAATATTCTTACTCTCGCGGTACGACACACGACGACGGCTCGCGGCAATCGCAAGACTCGAGGTAACATTTCGACTCGAGTGGAAATTTTTGATGCTAAATTGAATCTCAGTGAGATAACCCAGACTCCTCTTCAATTTTCAACGAATAAAAAATCAATGGATAGGATGAACCAATGGATGGCAAGAACATATAAGAACATGCGACGATATCGCTGAGACAAGTAATTAATTATCTCAAAGTCGAGGTACAAGATTGATGAAAACTTGCTTTGATGATACTGATACCTATTAACTTCTTCCTTGAACCTTTGATTACTAAAGATATCATTTTAACGCTATCTTGAACAGCCTATTCCAACACTAGAACGGAAACGGAAGCGAAAACGGAAATTTAAGACATTATTAGAATCAAAATAGGAATAAATCATATTATTAAAATCGAAATTTTTTCCAACTTCTCCATCTATCTTAGTTCCTACTGTATAGAGGAATGAAAAGTTCAACACGGGACCGGTATTTCGACTCGGGGAAATTCGCGATCGCGAGACGAAGATGCGAACCGACTCCTGAAAGCATTCGTGCCTCTCGAAGGGGGGTTCGTCGCATGCCGGGTCCTTTATCGGGACGCGCATCTCGCACCGGAAACGACGCGCGGGTTAAAGGCCTCTCGGAGCGAGGAGAGCGCGCGGGTTGATCGTCATCGCTGTGCAATTACGCGTCTATCCGCGTGCGTGCCATTCCGATCGCGTCCGTGTACAAACGGACGATCGTAGTTGCGGAAGGCGAAAGGGTCCGCATATCGGGAATGCATCCCCGGGTGCATTCCGACTCCGCCCGCACTCCGATCATCATCCCCTTCCCTCCCGCTGGCCGGGCGCTGCACCATCACGTATCGGGACAGCCGCTGCCGCACAGATTTGACGCACGCAATGCGCCCGATGCATATTGCGGAATCGCGAATTAATCGCGCCGGAATTATGCTATTCTGTTAAGGCCCCCCTCTCGCTTCCCCCGGCCCTTCTATCGCGTCCGCTGTCGTCCTCTTTACGAGCGTCCGACGCAGCGGAGGCGGTAACAACGTCAACAACGCGGCGATACGGCGTTGCTGCCGCGCAGCCCGTCAACGTCGCGCGGCAATTATGCCTCGCGCGCGAATTAGCCGGCGATTAGCGGCGCGATTATGCAGCCGCTCGCCAATTAATCGTGCCGGGGTTCGCGCGGGGGCCAGCAGAGCGCTTTCGCGTGCGCGACGACGAGAGGAACTGTCGCGCGTGCGCACGCTTACCGGATTTGTTTGATGGCTCGTTAGCAGCGCCGATTAATTAGTCCGCGCGATCCATACCTCTACGTTCGGCAGGTACGCGTTCGGCCGTTTATCGCACGCGCGATTCGGGGACCCGCAGGGACCGCCGATCCAGAGCGCGGCTCCTTTGCCTTTAGCTGTTCGGTGACGTAACCCTACCGCGTGCCTGTTTCCTCGAGTCGACATTTCTGCCTCCATATTAAATCTTGAATTCTGCACTGAGGAATGGTGCTACTTTTCAAGTAATACTTGGTCAAAGTAAAGTGATCACTCCGATAGTTCTTGGCGAATATTTACTCTCAGAAGTAGAAATATAAGTGATTGCGTATAGAATATGACATTTCCTTTGTCCAAGTAGGTATTTGCTTGTATGTTTAAGACAATTGCGACAAATATGAAATTCATCACGTTAAGAATATCAGAATTTACTTTTACGAAATATTTACCGTACAGAAAAATCTTAATTTAAACTTATTAAGTTTTTCCAATGGAAAAAAAGCATGACATAATTCTAGTAAATACTCTTTTTAATTTAGAACTATACACACTTATATTCGGTAATTCGTTTATAAATGAAGGTATTGTTACGTTGGAATAAGTATTTACTACAAGCTATTAAAAATATACTTAAATTCATACAAATATTATTTGACTTAAAGGACTGAAAAACAGGCATATACTTGATTCTAGTACATTTTTCTATTTTTTTCTGTGTATAACATATTAAGAGCTAAGATAGTAAAAGAAGTAGATTCAATTCTAATGATATAATTTATCCTTTTTTTGACTACGATAATGTCTTAAGTCTCCGTTTCCACTGTTTTTAGAGTTAAACGGTTATTTTACAGTAGAATCTTAGTATTAAAGTTAAATCTATAGAATTAAAGGTTCAAGGGAGAAATTGACAAGTGATAAACGTTATAATAGTGTAATATTTGGCTAATTCGTGCGAGATCGCGGAGACGTCACGTGAATGTCACGAATGTCGCTCTGTCTTTCCCTTCGAACGTATCTGTTTCTCGTTGGCACGCAGCTTTTCACCACGGCTGTCTCGCGACGACACCCACGATACGAGTGGGCGCGTATTTTAAGCGCGCGATCTTACTTTCGAAGAGCTGCGAAATCGATCTCATTAACCGTCAGGT